GTGAATGTCTCGAGCTAACTCCTGACCATATGCCTTGCTTAAGAAAACCAGTTGTTGAACTTAAAACATTACCAAAATATCTAAGATATGAATTCCTAGACACAGAACTCGAACAACCCGTCATAGTCAACACAGATTTAGGAAAAATAGAAACGCATAAACTACTACATGTCCTAAGGAAATAGCCAAGTTCTTTAGGCTATAACATCTATGATCTAAAAGAAATAAGCCCCTTAATTTGCATGCATCGCATTATGCTTGAGGAATATTGTAAGACCTCGAGAGAACACCAGAGAAGAATAATCCTAGTTCTGAGTGATGTAGTTAAGAAAGAAGTACAAAAGTTATTAGAAGTAGGAATTATATATCCAATATCCGACAGTAAATGGGTTAGCCCAGTGCATGTTGTACCAAAGAAAGGAGGTGTTATAGTTGTTAGAAATGCAAAAGGTGAATCCGTAGCACAACGTACCCAAACCGGATGGAGAATGTGCATTGACTATAGAAAGTTAAACAAATCCACTAGGAAAGATCCTTTTCCTTTACCTTTCATTGATCAAATGCTCGAACGATTAGCTAAGCATTCCCACTTTTTCTATCTGGATGGTTATTCAGGATTTTTCTAAATCCCTATACACCCCGAAGATCAAGAAAAAACTACATTCACATGTCCTTATGGTAGATTTTCCTATAGACGAATATCGTTTGGACTATGCAATGCTCCCGCAACATTCCAAAGATGCATGATGTCAATTTTCGCTGATTTTATAGACGACATCATAGAAGTATTTATTGATGATTTCTATGTCTGTGGACAAAGTTTTGAAGGATGCTTATCGAACTTAGAAATGGTACTTGAACTATACATAAAAGTAAACCTCGTGTTAAATTAGGAAAAATGCCATTTCATGGTCCGACAAGGAATCGTACTTGGACACATAGTACCCGACAAAGGAATCGAGGTTGACAAAGCAAAAATAGAAATTATAGAAAACCTTCAACCTCCGAAAACCTTAAGAGAAATACGAAGTTCCTTAGGACACGCTGGTTTCTACCGACGACTCATTAAAGATTTATCTAAAATTACCAAACCACTAATTGGCCTGTTAATGAAAGACGGTGAATTCAATTTCGACAAAAAATGCTTAAAAGCATTCGAATAATTAAAAATAGCTCTTATTACGGCACCTATTATGAAACCACCTGATTGGGGATTACCTTTCGAAATCATGTGTGATGCTAGTGACTATGCTATAGGCGCAGTCTTAGGAGAACGAAAAGACAAAAAACGTCATGCGATCTATTACGCCAGTAGAACCTTAGATCATGTACAAATGAACTACGCCACAACCAAAAAGGAACTTTTAGTTGTCGTCTTCACTCTAGATAAATTCCATTCTTACCTAGTAGGAGCAAAGATATTTATCTATACTGATTATGCTGCAATTAGATACCTATTAAGCAAAAAGGATGCGAAACTAAGATTACTCAGATGGATCTTACTCCTACAAGAGTTTGATTTAGAAATCAAAGACAAAAAAGGCCCTGAAAATGTATTAGCCGATTACTTATCTAGACTAGAAGGTATTAAGCCTGAACAAGTGCCTATCAATGATAATTTCCCTTACGAACAACTCATAGCCCAGTTAGAAAACAACACCATTGAACACCCTTTAGCCATTAACAGTAAGAATACACCGCCATAGTACGTTGACTTTGTTAACTATTTGGATGTTGGAGTGCTTCCACCGGACCTAACTTATCAACAAAAGAAGCAGTTCTTCCGTGATCTTAAGCAATATTATTGGGATGAGCCTCTGCTATTCAAAAGAGGCGTCAATGGTATTTTCCATCGATGTGTCCCCGAAGATGAAATAGAAGACATAATTTCCCAATGTCATGTTGCTCCCTATGATGGACATGTGAGCACTTCAAAGACTTGCGCTAATATTTTACAAGTTGGCCTCTATTTTCCTAACTTATGGAAAGATGTTCACATTACAGTTATAAACTACGACCGATGCCAACACACTGGTGACATCTCCAAACACGACGAAATGCCTCAAAAGGACATTTTTAGAAGTAGAAGTATTTGATGTGTAGGGAATTGATTTCATGGGACCTTTCCCATCCTCTTTTGGAAATAAATACATACTCGTTGCTGTAGATTACGTATCAAAATGGATTGAAGTTGTAGCTTCTCCAACAAATGAAGCACGAGTAGTAATCAGGCTCTTTAAAAATATAATTTTTCCCAGATTCGGTGTGCCAAAACTTGTCATCAATGATGGTGGTTCTCATTTCATTTCGAAAATCTTTGAAAGACTATTAGTGAAATATGGAGTCCGCCACCGTGTAGCAACACCATATCATCCCCCAAACAAGTGGACAAGTAGAAGTCTCCAATAGAGAGATTAAGCAAATATTAGAAAAACAGTTGCCACTTCTAGGAAAGATCAGTCATCTAGATTATACGAAGCGTTGTGGGCATATAGAACAGTCTATAAGGCACCCATAGGAACCACACCTTCCAAACTAGTTTATGGAAAATCATGTCATTTATCGGTAGGACTAGAGCAAAAAGCTTATTAGGCAATCAAAACCATCAACTTAAGTTACACTGCCGCAGGCAAAAAGTTAATCTTGGATATCCATGAGCTAGAATAACTTAGACTAGATGCGTATGAAAATGCCAGGATCTATAAAGAAAGGACAAAGAATAGGCACGACAAGCGCATTTCTGGAAAAAAGGTTTAATGAGGGCGACATAGTGCTCCTATTTAATTCTAGACTTAAATTATTCCTAGGAAAACTTCGTTCTAGGTGGTCCAGCCCGTTTGAAATAACTAAGGTTTTTCCAAGTGAAGCTATTGAAATCAAGGGAAAATCTAGTGAACCGTTTATCGTAAACGGGCGGCGCTTAAAGCATTATCATTGCATAGAAAACAAGGAATATTCCTCTAGTTTCCATCTTGCAGAGCTACCCGCTAACTCACGGATCTAATTATGTCAAGCTTACAACATAAAACAAAGTGCTTGGTGGGAGACAACCCACTTTCTAGTTTTTATTTTGATTTACTGTTTTGGTTTGTTTGCATTTTCTTACTTTTCTTTCTTTCCTTTCCATTATAGTATTGCAGTATTGATCTCTAATGTTATCCACTACTGACTTAATTCTAACTATCAACTTACTTACATGCTAACTTAATTTGTAGCTAACAATACTAACTCAAGATGCAAGAAGTTAACACTATGGATATAGTTTTCAGAGGAAGATCCCAGAGGAGGCGCTTCGAGGCACTGGATGCAAGGGAAATGACACTGGCCTTTTATCCTGATGGCCCCGCCGTGACCATTTAGGCATTAGAGACAGTGTAATGTTTCTGCTAAACCAAGTAGGTTGGGATGCTTCTCCTTTGAGAAGAAGATTTAGCTCTTATAGAAAGCTGACCTTAGAATTCCTAAGCTCACTGATCTTCTTGCTCGACCATGGTTTAGGGTTTAATGGAGGCCTAACCACCTTTAGAATGTCCAGGATAGAATACCGTTATAATAATCATGAACTTTCTAACCTATTAGGATTTCCTAGTGGCCCACATGTTTTCACCTGTACCCAAGAGGACCTTCTTATGGACCGTGAATTGGGATACTTTTGGAATAGTATAACCGGAGACAGCAACCCTGAACCTAACAATATGTTTTCTAAAAGTATTCATAACCCTGCTATCCGCTACTTCCATAAGTTCCTAGCCCACACCCTTTTATAAAATCGTACAAATGTATAGATTTTTACACCTCTTTTTTAAAAACATGTATAAAATCATAATTGGTTTTCAAAAATCTGTGTTTATACTGATTCTTTTCCAAATCTATTATAAATTCATATTTTTATATCAGATTAAAATCATAAAAAATTTTAACACAAATTATGATTTTATACTAATTTTTTTTAAAATACAAAAAAAAATTTCAATTAATCTTTTATTATCTTCATTTTTTTATTTGTCTATCAAAAATAAACTACCGAATTTTAAAAAAATCCAAAAATTTTAAAACATATCAAATTTATTAAAAATTCTAATAGTGTTAACTTTGTTTTTACATAGGCATACTCGATATGAACTAAATTTTTTAAAAATCCAAAAATTAACATGATTTTTTTTTTAAGTTCTAGCAAAAATACATACCAATTTTTCTATTGCACTATTTTGCGTGCGAGAAAGAAAAATTTGCAAACACCATGTGAGTAGATAAATAGAGGGGTGCTATGTATAATTGAAAGGGTGCAGGACAAAATTTCCAGAGTCTAGCTTGGAATAATTTGCTTTCACCCTTAAAAGGGCCCATTAAATTAAACTAAACTAATTAAATTTATAATTGAATTATATTATAATTTTAATTGAATCATATTAAATTAATTAAATTAAACTAAACAAAGTAAAAATATTTTAGCCAGACTGAACATACAAGTCATTAGGTATTCATCCAATGTCTCCACCAGTTTACTTGCTACGACAACTGCATTATCTTTTAACTGCAATATAGTTACAAAATTCCTAAGAGCAAAAATGGTTCTGGAGATAGCACACGATTTTGAGTTGAATGAAACGCTGCATACATGAATTGAGTTAACATATCGAGATTTCAGCATCAGAATACAAAAGATCCGAAGTTACTGTCTTTTCCCATTATTTCAAAGAGAAAATGAATCTCTTTTCTCAATTGTATCAAACAGGTAACATAAAAATAACATTGTCTAATGTTAGCACAACACTACACTTAAAATGCTTCCTAGAAGAAAAAAAACAGCATATAATTTATATTTATACAACAGCTGCTTGATTTATCAATTATACATAAGCCAGTTATCTAAAGAGAGCATTGCATAAAACTTCTTGCAACAGGCAAACATAAATACGGTAATAATAATAATAATATACTACTATAGCAAAATATAGTAAACAGTAAATATATTACATAGCCAACTTTCAACACTTGCATTAGGCCTTCTGAAGCTTTTCCACATAAGCCTGTATAATAAGAGAATAATTTAAAGACAAGCTAAAAAAATAGTACTAAATTGGCATTACAAATGTCTCAAAATGCAAATGTAGATTCAGAAACTGACATAGGTCTTCAACCAATAAAGTAAAACAAAATTGACACAAGTGATAGGATAGGGCATGGAGCTCATAATCTTTTATAGACCAGTTGAAACAATATGAGGATTCAAGGGAAGGGATGGTCCAATACACAAGGTAGGAGTAGACATACTAAACCTTATGCTAGTGAGCTGATAGTTTGTTTCTTGACTAGGAACCATGTGCCACCAAATGACAAAAGGCAACAACTTACCCTATGAAAACAAACAAGTCTTTATTTTGAAAGAGAGACTATAATTTTTTGGGGAAAAATGAGTAGGTTGTTCATTAAATCAACAGAAATAATCAGGAAATAAAAAACTTCAGAAAAGGTTCAATATTTTGACTATATTTAGGGTAATGTGTCATGTTTTTTTTGTTTTTTTTTAAATATCAAATATGTATAAAAATATAGGCGTAATCCTCCAAAGTCTTTCCAAAAACTAATTCAAAGAAAATGTACACCGATCTTGAAGTTCGCATTACTTGGAGATTCTCTTGTTTGAAAACACCAGCCTCCATTGCTTTGTTACTTTTAAGGGTCTGTTTGTTTGGTTGAGAGGAATGTTTTTTATTCAATTATTTCAGAGGGAAGACAGAAGCAAAATCCTCACAATTTAAGGCCCCCTCCAATATTGAAAGGATTTGGAAAAGAGGGGTGTTTATGAACTCTTAAAAGTGTTGAACATAACAACCTTATATTAACTATTATAAGGGTTGAAAATGTAAATAAGTATTTTTGTTCTGCATTAAAATATCTTCCTTCCCTCTAACCAAACAGTATATCTCATAAAATCTCTCCTCATTCCCCTTCATACCCTTCCCTCCACTAAAATCAGTTCTTTTGTTTGAAAAAAACAGATCCTCTGGAAAATTAATTTATGATCTATTATCTATTGAAATAAGGGAAACAAGTGTAACTTCATTTCATAAAAAAAAAAAAAAAGTTAAGAGTTAACACTACTGAGAATTAGGTAGGTGTAATTTTTCAAAAAAAAACAAGAATCTCATAATAATTAGTGTGAACCTCACAAAGAGATCAACGTATATTTGATGAAGTTTAGTTACATATATGAAATCTATAGCACAGATGAACACCTTGGTACAACATTTAATCTCATTTTTTGACAACTATTCTACAACTCTTTCCACATCCAAATCAAGCCTATTAGAAAATTCAATGATTTCTGAAGCTGCATGCATACTTACATTATCTAAGAAACCTAGTTAAATGGGAGACAAGATTTTGAATCCTTTATACATATGACGGAAATCTGTAAGAGAACCACCACTAACCTGTACAAGTTTGTTAAGCTTTGGTTTTGAAACTGATAAATAGCGTTCAATTTTCTCTTGTGTCTGAGGTATATGAACCTGATTTACTGTACCAGTTACTTTATCAGTAACCTTCTTCACAATTGCTTTATAATCTTCTTTGGTGACTTTACCATCTTTCCATGTTGGTTTTAGGATCTCCTTAATGAGTTCTACCAATGAAGTTTTAAATGCACGAATCCCCTTTATGTCCTTTAATTTCTTGGCCTCATCAGGTCCATCATTTTGGCCCATGTTTACCAAAGGACTATTCGCTTCTGTAATTTTATTTTCAGATTGAGATATTTCCTTTTTTTCGGCGTCCATGTTGCTGGCCTCCTTTTTACGAAAATGGTCAAAATTGTGTCCTGGGTTAGATAACAGAGGTGGAATTCTGGCTGTATCTTTTGAAATCTTTGTATTAGGAGAAAAGGTTGGAGAGACCCCATTTGCATTAATATTTTTGGGCTCCATACTATCACACATTAGATCGTATTGCTTCGATGATTGCCCTTCAATTTTGCTTGCGAAGAGAGTGTCCTTTGCATCACAAGAATTTATAACAGAGTGAAGTTGTGGGAACTGCTGATCTGTTCCGAGGAAATGTGCAAGAGAGGCTGAGAGGCAGCTAAGTTGTTCTTTGCTGACTACGTTCTGAATTTGAGTATTTCCTGAACCAATTTGCAATATGCTTGCATTCATGATAGTTGGTTCTACAGTGTCGTTTGCATTAGTGAAGAGCTCCTGGTTCTGTAAACCTTCAATAGTTCTGGATCTTGGAGGAACAATGGAAACTGTTGCTTGACTCTGTCTAACCACTTGCAAAGCAGTTACATTCTGAGCATTCTGATTTAGTCCTTGACCTGTCAAAAGAGTAGAAAAGTTAAGGTTTATGTATGAATCAGCATATTATTGCAATATAACAACACATTCTCTGTTTTTCCACATGCATTATTAAATGATTTTTTTCAACAGACAAATGTTTCTCAATAAACAAACAATTACCTGGAGCACCTTGTTGCTTATTCTGCCCATGCTCATCGTTAACATGGCTGGAACATCTTGCACCATAATTCCAATCAGGAGACATTTTTTCATCTCCAGGCCAAAAGCCTCCACCTACTGACTGAGAAATGAGAATGTTGTCAGCTGCATTTTCTGCCGTCCAACAGTTGGCTTCCTGCTTATCAATTGTAAATGGTGATTCATTATGCATTATGTTCCTGTCTGAGCTATGGTCCAATCCATTATTCATTGGCCAAGCCATGAACCCAGGTTCCGGGGCACCTAAAAGACCTTTTTTGTTGTTCTCAACTAGGTTTGCAGTATCACAGACAGCAACTAAATTATTCGGCTTTGGACCATCCCAAACTTTATCTACATCAGCCATACTGCCATCTGAACCCCGTCTATCATCTCTTCGCCTTTCATTAGGGGTAACTGAATTCCTCACTATTTGTCTATCCAACACCTGATCTTCACCTTGATTACTCCTTGACCTATCATCCCTTAATCTTCTAATAGGGCTGGTAAATGCTTGTCTATCATGAGAAAACCTACAATCTTTACCATTCCTACAATTTCCAAAAGCAAAAAATTTGCAAGGAGTATTACCACGGTGGTTTGGATAATACGGGCCACCCTGCTTGAATGATTTATCTATGTGTCTTCTATCAATTTCCCTTTCCCTATATGATTCATCTGCAGAAACTTTATCAAACTCATCAGAATTCCCATGATGCACATACTTGCATGATTCTCCCGCTCTACACCTTCCCTTTGCAAAATGAATACAAGCTTCATTAGATCTTCGACTTGTGAGAGAATAATCCCCACTCTCACGGGGATTACAATATCTGGGTCCATCTTGCATGTGTCTACTTTCCCTACTATCCTCATAACTTTGCTTATCATGGTGAAGGAAATGGCAATGGCTGCCTCTTCTGCAGTTCCCAACAGCAAAATCTCTACAAGGTCGCATCAATCTGCCAACCCTTGTTCTGTTCTCATCATCGCCAGCCCTCGTTCTGTTCTCGTCATCAACAGCTGAATACCTAAAACCATGTGGAGGGCTCCGGCTTTGGCTCCTGCTTCTCCTAGAAATGGCAATATCCAAAGAAAAGCAGACAACTAATAAACCACTTGCATCTGGAAATTGCACAGACATCTCAAGGCTCAAAGATATAAAAATTTCTTTGAGGGGACATAATTTAAACTTAATGACTACCTTGCAGTTGGAAAATAGAGTAATCAAATAGTACTGAGATTACATTGCAATTAAAGAAGATATGTATTCATAAAGAAATGAGTTTAACACAACTACAATAAATGGGACACACCACAGTCAATGCACAACTATTTCAAGATGGCCTAAAAGCTTCAGTTTCTAAACTTTTCTATATAACAAAAAAGTTTCAATCTAGGGATATAGGATGTTGTATTAATGGTTAAGATTAGAAACCATTGAAACGTCCCATAAAAATCACATGATTATCTAAAAAACTAAAAAATAGAGATGACTTTGATTCTTTAGTCTACCACCTCACTCATATACAAGATCCAATTTTCTTGATTGTATGTACTACTCTGAATTTAAATTAAGCAAAAGTTTATATTTTATTCAAATTTAGACCAAATACATTTTGACTTCTGCTTAAACTTAAGTCCGGAGGGAGTATGTATTTAAGCATTAAAACATGAAGTAAAGGGAAAGGAATGATACTAAATTATATGAAATAGCGTTTGTGAAAGAGCACATAATTTCTCATTAAACAATATATTGCCATTTAAAACAAGTATGTTCTTCACCCATTAATGGTCATCACTAACTTGATTGGTCAGCATCCAACTCATGAAATTTTGTTTTTTATAAAATAGAACAGCCTTCTCAATGAAAAGATTTGAGTAAGATATGTTTCAAATGTGTTTGAACAAATAAAGAAACTATCTAAGTACTAATATAGTATGCTTAGATTCTCAAAACTCAAAAGTACAGCTAATTACTAAGAGTTGTTAGTATTCTTGCCAGAATAAGTATATTAATAGTGTGCGTGATCAAGTTTATTATAGAATATTTCCTCATAAAATATCAACAGTTAAGCTTATTGAGTACAGTTCCAGTGAATTAATTTTCAAACAATAGGGTGGTGCAGATATTATTAGAGATATAAATTAAACTAACCTGCTGTAATCATTTTTTGCAGATTGACTGTGCTTCCTATTTTTCAATTCCTCAAACCCTGGAGAGGTTTTCATATTGTAACTTCCATCAGTGTCTTGTGCGATTGTTGCGTCCAAAACTTCGTAGTCTGGGTTCCAAACATCATCCTTACTTGAACCTCTGCCTCGAGAAAAAGGTTCCTTGCATGAAAATCCCATTCTGGGATTTATCATATCATTTCTTTCCAAATACCTTGAACTATTGCTATTAGTAGCACCTGTAAAGGACCACCCAGAACGCAATTGCTTAGGATGCATTTGGACATGCTTTTCGAAACAGTGCTTTTCTATAAAAAAATTACGAAAAAAACTCCATCTAACATAAGAAAAAAGCATTAAAACAGTTTTTTATGAATAGTGACCTTATTCTGAAAAACTTATGTCAGCTTAAAAGATTTTAGACATATTTTTACTTAGATTTGTCTATTATAGAAACATAGACAAACAGGCCTTACTCTCGGATGAAAATTCAGGTTCATCTCTTGAAACCCTGTTTGAAGATAGCTTTCTGCCACTTCCGCTCATCTGATTTCCTCAGAGCCGTAAGCTTCACTTTGGTTGACGCAGAGTGATCTGAATTAAAAGAAATCACAAAATAAATAAATTAAATCAGAAACCTGAAATCCCTCTTCATTATTCTAATATTCTACTTCACTAAAGGAATACGGCAAGCTAGAAACAAAACAGAAAGTTATCAAATGAATCCCAGACATATAATATGAACCAAAAAGCATCAATGCAAAGTTTTTGACCAAAACCCTGAACCTTCAAGGAGGGTTTGCACAAACAACAGTCACAAATATAATTGACCGTCATTAAAACCAAAATGAATTTAGCAAGGGATAAAATATTGAGTGAAAATTTCAGCCGTTGTGTTAATTAAGTTGACCGTGAGGATCATTAACAGATTTCAAACGCATTAATTCACTTGATATGACAACTAATATAAAATCTTCCCTAAGTTGCATATATGGCTACTTTCATCCTCTTCCTTTCCAGAAAGATTAGCCATAGCCAATTATGATAGTTACACGATGAACCAAGAACCCCAAGACCTTGTAAAATTCAACATTACAGATAGTCCCCGGAAAAAAATATACATTAGAAGAATAAACAGGATTTTCTTTTCTAGGCGAAATTTTATACATTCTTGGTAGTTAGTGTGAAAAACAGGGGAATCACGATCAGAGGTGAAATTAAATGCATTATTTTAAGAGTATTGGCCCATACATATTTTCTTCCAGAGCAGAAATCTTATATTGCAATAATTATTTTTTCAAAGGAGAAGACTTTCAAATTTATGTAAACGAAATACTCTGTATTTTACTATTGTTAGAGGAAGAAATGCAATTTCTTTAACTGACACGTGATATCAATTGTTTACTTATGCGAACTATATATCATACATCCAGAGAAATATCCTTAACTAATTGCGAACCTCTGACATTTTATTTATACGAAAATGTGTATCTGTTGCATCATTCACAAGTTTGGGATCGGGAACTCTTAAAATAACTAGCATCAAAACATGTCCTATTTAAACCATTATCCAACAGAATGGTATAAGTTACTTTTTTTTTTCAAAAACGCCTAAATCTTTTAGTAATGACAGTTGCAAGTTTATAATTTACATAGAGCCCTCTTCTGTAACTAATTGACCCAATACTTAAAGAAATCATGAGGTTCCACTATCTAACAATTTAAGTCAAAAAATCCAACAGCGAGATGAAAAAGATATTAATATTTGATTCTTCAAATTCAAAACAAAATACAATAATCTAGTCCTTCCAAAGCCTATCTATGTTCCCATCAAAACCATGAAAAATCAACACTCATGATGAAACCATTACATCATCTTTACAATACCTATAAGATTACTCAAACAACATCATTGGCCACTCACAAGACAGATCAAAGCTACAATGTTTATTGCACAAATTTTTTTCAACACTCTGTTCTTGATGCACATTGGAAACTAGTATATCTGTTGAAAAAGTTAATACATTTCCCAGTTCTTGAACAAGCCAGGGATTTATGCTGCTAACTCAAAATAGGTCATTATTTTGAAACTAATTTGACTCCAAAACAAATCGATATTAATTGGTAATTATGGAATATGTCAAATATTGCTCGATACCAGCTACTTTGAGTCAGTTGGTAAAACCTCCACGCACTAATGACAAGAAATCACTGCAGAAAATTGTATCCAATTAGAACTCGGTCTTATTGAGATACATTGAATAGAACTAAATCACAGAGGAGACTTCCAAAGTTCCAATTCTCCTACCTGATGTCTCGGCATCGAGCCAATCCAGGTGGCTGTATTTTATATGGATGAAAGACCGAAGTTACTCTTTCTAGATTAAAACAACAAATCTAAAGATATTATCTTCTAGTCAACATGTAGAATTCAATGTTCTCGATGGCGGAGAGCCAAAATCCCGCCATACGGGCCGCTTTGCGGCGCCATTATAGCGGAAAATCCTGCAATATCGGACGATATTTACCATCTCGGCAAATCAAAAAACCGTCATGTATATCCGCCATAGTGGCCATTGCGCTGCTATTTGATAACATTGGTATCATAAGATTTAGGACATTTTGGATTGACTTATTTGAATTAATCTAATGGCATAAACACTTGTGAGCAATGTAGTCAAGCATGAGTTCTTAAGTAGGATGGGCTGGCCTGTGAAAGATCGTAAAACACGGATCGTTAGCACTGCACATAAGATCCTACCGAAGGGCACAGTGGTAATTTTCGCATGTATGCACACATACACAAAATAACCTATAAATCACAACATTCAACCAATTTAATTAATAGCTCATAACCATCATTCCATAACTTAATAAGTTCAAAAGACATTATCATTATCTTCAAAAGACCAAGTTCAAAATAAGTAGCTCAAAAACCAACCCCGTTAGACAGCCCCAAAAAAAAGGCCCAGCTTTTTTTTCGATCTTGCTATAAAAAGCTCAATCTTGACCACACCGGTGACAAAAAAAGGTTTTTCTCCTATTGTAGCACTATTAGGCAACTTTAGTACATAAGATCTTAAGATCCAACAGTCGATCATGACTACACTGCTTGTGAGGACGTTTGGAAGTGCTAGCGAAAACAACTTATGACATATCAATAATCTGTTTTCAGATTATTTTCAAAAGCTCTTCAAGATAGCCAATGAAAACAGTTAATAGTTTATACGGAAAAAAAAATCTCGACTATATTTCATCTTCTGTTACAGAAATAATGTGTACATAAGCAATAGTGCTGACATGATAAGCATTTATGTTATATACGCTTTGCTTACAGTATGGTCAAGGAAAATCTTGATTAATAAAACTGCATTAATCCACCTATCGTTAGTTGGTTAGTTGGTCCAGTGGTGATTGGCGCGGGACTTGGTAGGGAGGACCAAGGTTCGATCCCTGCAACTGCAATCGCGAGAGGCTGAAACCACTTGATGCCAGAAATGACTCGAACGGGACTATACCGGTGGTGAAAACCGAATGAAAAAAAGAACTGCATTAATATATATATACTATTTACACAAAATTAATGCATTATAACACGATGAAAACTCATATGTACATACCAAAGATTTGCAAGCAGGGGTTAACATTCATGGAATTTCAATAATAATGATGAATTGGAAACCCTAGAAGTGGAAGAATGTTAAGATGACTTACGAGTTTAGGGTAGAGAAGAGTGTTGTTGGAGTAGAGGAGGAACCCTAGGTTTCAGATTTTTGTTTTTGGGAGTGAGAAGTGATATTAGGATAGAGATAGATAGTGAGAGAAGTATTAGCAGAGTGGAGTTTGCGGTTTTGTCATCAAGGCTGCGGTGAGGTGTACGGAGCGGGCTCCTCTTCCTTTTGTTTCTCTTCACGATAATATTCATTTGTTGAAGCATTTAATTGATAATGGCATGTTGGACTTATTTACAAAAGGAGGCCCCTTATTTACGTGCTATGACACTTTGAAAATTTTATAATGTTTTTAGTATTTTAAGTTCCATCTTCGAACGTGTCTATTTTTATTATTTTTCATATTAAATTGAAGAGATATCATTTTTATATTAAAATTTAATTTAGAGGTGCATTTATGCATATATTTATGTAAATATCATTTATTCAAAAATATGTTGGTGGTTTGGAGATGTATCTTTTGACGACTTCTTTCATTAATATGCGTCAGAACCCTTCCATCTTCCTCCTTCTTTATTTTTTAAAAAAATTCTTAAAAATTGATTTGAGCTATTTGTCTCTCATCCATTCATTGAAGCATTGAAGCGTCAGTGGAGCTCTTTCTCCTTCTTTCCATCATCTCATCACATCGAAACATCTCCTTCTCATCAAACAATTTCATTTTGGTAAGTTTTTCAAATTTTATTTTCTTTTTGTGTTTTGATTTGTAATTAGTTTTTTAGGTAGTGGTGTAAACGAACTTGGTAAGTTAAAACAACATGCAATAAGTTTTATGTAATTGTTAGGGCAGAAAATGGGTCTGCCATGGTATAGCAAAATTACAGGTTTGTCCAGAGTTGCACCTTCGTATTTGCTCTGAATTGTTTAGGAGATGTATCTCCAGATTGGGCGCAGTAAAAAAATTAGGACATTTTTTAGATTTTGTGAATTTCTCCGGCTAATGATAACCCGACCTCAAGTCAATCTTGCTAAATACACGAGCACCTACTAATGGATCCATCAAATCAGAAATTCTCGAAAGTGGATACTTATTCTTAATAGTCACTTTATTCAATTGTATGTAGTCCATACACAATCTCATACTACCATCTTTCTTCTTAACCAACAACGCAGGAGCACCCCACGGAGAAACACTTGGTCGAACAAACTTATTCTCAAGTAATTTTTCCATTGTTTCTTATATTCATCTAACTCTGAAGCTGACATCCTATAAGGGATCCATTGACACCAGACTTGTACCTGGTACCAACTCTATAGAAAACTCTATCTCACGCTCTGAAGGCAAATCACCGACGTCATCTGGAAACACCTTTGGAAATTAACAAACAACAGGTACGTCGACATTTACAGCTTCATGATCAACTCGTAATGATGCGAACATTACAAACATCAAAGCTTCATATTCTAAAAAGTTCTCGTATTTGCTTAGCAGACAAAAACACTAGTTCTCTGCTATCATCAAACTTAGGAAACCTCACAGTCTTATTATAACAGTTGATATGAACATAGTTAAACTCCAACCAGTTCATTCCAAGGATAACGTCAATTTGGTACAAGGGTAGATGTAACACCCTATAAATCCTCGCACAATTATATGACATAATCAAAGTAAATTAGCATGTATATCCAAAGAGGGTGTCACACTTACTTCACAAACACAACACAAATATATTGGCCATGCTCATAACACGCATTTAGAATCATGTTCTATACAATAACATATATGCATCTCGCAACGGAATAATTCTCATTTCAAAATAATATTAATGATTGAAATTCCATACTGACAATCATATCATAAAATATTAGGCACTA